GTTTGCTCTGCTCCTATTTTGTACTGTTTTATGGACTTTGATATTGAATAGTGTTCGTTATATCCATATCTTTCATGGTTAAGATTATGGTCAGGACAAAGTACAACAAGAAGAAAGTCAGAAAAGATATATTGATCACAAAACAGTGTGGTCTGTTCAATGATGTTTGAAGAAAATCAAATACGTATACAGAACTCGTGCCCGTGTTTATAAATATGGGCGCTAGTGTTATATAACTTAGAAGATGGTTATCAATGAATGCAAAATTATTCACGTAGGTTCAAATCTTTAAACTTTCATCATTAAAAATACTCTTTAAAATTATATCTTTAAAAAAAAGGACAAAATAAGGTTTAATACCCTTGAACTAAAAATATATGCTGGGTCATAAGTACTCTTTTCTGGAATTTCCCACAAATGCATCCCCTGACGCAAATCAATAAAAGCAAACGACATTGTTCTTGTCCACGTGTATGTCCCCTAGTAGGCGATTCTTTGAAGGCTGAATAACTTTTAACAAAAGGTTTAAAATCTCCAAGCTATAGTTTTAGTAAGCTTTGCAACGCTTTGAACAAATTATCCAACAATGCTCATGTTAAATATTTTTGAAACAGTTTTTTGCTACTGATATGATTCTAAATTAATTATTGTTCTAGCGTTTTAAAAATTGAAACAAGAAAACATTGATGTAACCATCAATTGTCGCCCGGGAAATAATTAAGAGTTAACAATGGAAATGAGTCTTGATAATCAAACCGCATAGATATGTGTGAAAAAAAAATGCGTCTGAATGATGGAGGCGATAGTCGAGAAGATTTTGAAAACTTATAGTCGAATGAAAATCAAACAAAAAGCTATACCATTTTAAACTTTATCAATTACTCAAGTAAATGTTGGCTTCGTAAAATATAAATAAAAATCAGGCACGTGCATCACCTAGTTTCAAAAGTATATTTCACTTAAAGAATATAGAACACGAACAGTGTAATATACATTTTTTTTATGCGATAAGTAAAATTCGATGTTCTAAAAAAAGGGGGGGAGACCTGTCGTTTTTTCGATATTAAATGAAAAGAAATTTTATATACATGTATTAAATATGAAAAAAAAATATTTTTAAGGATTCAATTGATGGAAGTAAATATTTTGTGTATATCGTATTTATAAAGGTCAAGAACATTCAGATGCATAATCTTTTTAATGTTTAGATAACCTTTAATTCTGATTAACTTCTCCCACCTCAATCCCCATACATCAAAACTTAAACTTATATGTAGAGAGCAGCTCGGTCCTCCGGGCTGCAATAAGAAGGAGAGAACTTCAAACAAAAAGTACATGTTTTTTTAAATTACTAGATTATTTTATATATCAACACTATTACCCATTTAAACAATGAAAAGGCATAAATCGTGAATAAAAATGTTAAACACAATACTGAAAATACAGAATTTTATGAACAAAATATTCTTCATAGGAAAGAAAATTCAATTAAGAATCTTCTCCAACAATTAATCTCAATTTCTGGTTAATACATTCAGGATTTGTGAAGTCTAGTGGTAAGCCTGCTACTCTCAAAAGAAAATGAAAGTACTCAGGATATTTATTGCTAGGGAGTTTGAACCTCACGAATACCGCAATATTTGCTAAATATAAGAATAAATATTAAGGTATTCAATGTATAACAACCAGATTTTGTACCTAATAAATGAATGGTCCGATATCTTTAATCATGGTAGCATTTTGAAGATGTTATCAAATAAAAATGCTCCACGAAAAGAATTTAAGGAATTTTGATTATTGTCCAATTAATTTCACCTTGAGTTTTACACTGAAGTCTATGGGCAGCGCAGGTTTTTATAAGATATTGTAAAAAGTACATGTAATTTGAAGTTCAAACAAATTCACTTTTATCGTTATCTAGCAATGTGTTTTAACTAGTGTAAAATTATTTTAAATCGTTCAAAATCCCTTCATTGTATATTGAATTCCTTAACGAGTAAACTTTCCTCAGAAATTTTTTCTCATCATATTTTCATGAATGTCAATAAGAACTTTCCTGTTAATACTAAATTGACACATTAAAAATGAGTTTTATAAATCTGAAGCTAAAGACTTTCTGCATAATATGTTTGTTTGTCCTTCTCCTTTCTCGCAGTTAGGTTCATTCTTCACATAATAAATGTCATGTATTTATTCATCTAATTTTAATTAGAAATATTGCAATAAAAATAACAATTCAATAAAAAATATTGCAGTTTATCGCTGTAAAAAATCTCTAGCCAATACCCATTAAAACATGTATATAAGCGCATTATATCTTTAAAAAAAATATGCGCTTAAGATTCTTTTGTTTAGTGCATGATTGACAGTACACAAAGTTAAGAATTATTCTCCTAGCTGAATAAATTAAAAACATCAGGGTTCACAATAAAATCCCTATAGCAAATTGTTTGTTGATACCTTACTGATAACTATGAAACAAAATAGTTGTTATAAGTTACAAATTACATTTAAACACTTTCATTTATCACAGTAAATACTGTAGAATATAAAATATTAAAATAACAACAAATGCAATACATCTCATTAATTATGTTAAAAAACGAATCGTAAACAGAGCAAAAAATATTTGACCTCTCCAGAAATTCCCAAGGTAGGATCAGGTGCCAAGTAGGAGTAAGGATCCCGTGTCGTCTGGTTGAACCCGCTATGAACCCGATTTATCAGTCAGGTGCACGAGGTACTCCCTGGAAAAATTAAAGATTTAAAAAGGGGATCTAAGTTTTGCTTCTATTTATGAAGAAGGTATTGAATAAATTTTGCTTCGTAAGAATATAAAAACAGGTCAGCTAATAATAGAGAAAAATTAGTGTCAATCGGAATTCCAAAGAATTTTTTGGAAAACCTGTTTTTAAAAGACTAAATACAGTGTAGATAGCTGTGAAAGAGGAACTCTGACATCTTTTGATCATATCTGCAGAATAATTGTATGTAGAATCACAATATGATTTTTTAAAAGTTATTTTAAAGGTGACCAACCGCAAGAAAATTGCAATGTCTATATTTTTGGACAAAGCAGTTGAATTTCATTTTTTTTAAAAAAAGGGATAGGCTTGGCACGACTTACGGGTTCGCTTTCAATGCCTCATTTTATTGGTTTTTTGAGATTGTTTACTGTTTGTTTTATTCACATTTTTCATTGATTAACATTTTTAGCGTTTATTTCTTTTCTATGACAATACTTGCAAAAAACGTTATTGATAATCTTACCTATTGATTTTTTTTCTTTGAAAAAAAAAGAGAAAATATGTTGTGGTCATTATCACTTTTCGGAAATAATTTTGAATGTTTGTGAATAAATATGTTTTTTTTAATGAAAGTAAATTAGACTTTCACAGAATCTTTGTTACTAAGTGCCGTTGTGCACCCCGTATATTTTACTCCTTGTTCTGACATACATTTTTGTTGCCCATATGGATACTGACATTCTTTCTATAATACTGAAGGGTACCCATCTCTTATCCTTAACTCCTCCTTTTCCACTGAATAAAATTTAATAGTACTTGATCAGATTCTTTGTCACATAATTCCTTTGTGCACCTCCTATTTTACTTTTTGATCGGACACTTATTTTATGTCTCCCAGAGCAAATCATGCTCTTTGCCATATTCATCATATACATGTAGGAGGCGGGGGTACCATTTTAGTGAGTTCATCATGCAGTGCTCATTGTACCTCTAGTTTTTAAATGGTGGGTTTGCATTACAAATAAGTATCTATTTTTCACCGCTGTGGAGAATTGAAATGATACTCAAATAGTAATACACATAATTAAAAGTTGAAATAAAAGATTCAAATTAATTAAATCAGCCTTCATTTGATTTGGAAAAGAAATACTCATGCACATTTTGCTTTTACATTAAAGAGATCTAGAATTTTGGGGTACTTGGAACAGATGAAATATCAGTCAGTCTTCTGCACCCTCTATTTCCAAACCTGTTAAAACAATGTCCAGTACAACTTACTCGACATCACTGAAGTAACCCTGTAATTAATGTTAGAAATTTCAAAATATAGTTTAAGACTCTCCTCTTGTCTTTCGTGTTGGAAAATTTTCAGTCAACAATGCATGTTTTTTGGTATTATTTAGGAAAACTAGTTTTCATTTTATCCATACAATGCATGTGCATTGATTGTTGACATAATTACAAAAGTCGATAAGATTTTTTTTTTTTAAAAGCCAGCAACTGCTTCTTAAACAACCCCTCAATATATTGAAATGAACGTTCTTTGGTCATTCACAATGCATTTTTTTTTCTTTGCAAAAGAGGATATCAAAATATTATGTATTTCAATAAAAAACAAATATTGACAAATCACACTCAGTAAAGGTTTACAGGTGAAAAAAAATTCAGAATATGTTAGCTTGGTGCTGAAAATGTAAGATAAACTTTAGAAAAATCGAATTTTATTACGAATTACCCTATATCATATGAGCTGATTTTTACCATTTTGCTTTTCCTCAAAAAAGGCACATTTTTCAACTGCTTTTAACACCAAGCTTTCTGAAATTCAACCCTTTACTGAGTGTGTTTTATCCATTTTTATAATTTTATTGAAATATTACTAATATTTTCCAAGTTTATTTCATTTTCCAATTCTAAGGAGAAAAAATTCTAAGAATTATCCATTTTTCTAAACTTGTGACATGATATTTAGTCTCCCCCAAAGAAAAAAAATTGTTTGTATCATCTGTCCTTAAACCTGAGACTTCGTGTAATGACAGGTGTTGGAGATTCCTAAGCGCTCAATGACCCTGAGTGCAGAGTAAATGTTTAAATGTGAGGCTCCTCACGAGTACACGATGACGCCCCTGTATGAGAAAAAACTTCATCAATAGGACGAATAACAACAAACAATCAATCAGCTTATTTTATAATAGATTTGAACTGCAAAATTTCAAAAAATATTCTGCCATATCCATGATGCATGATTTTATTTTTATTTTTTACAGATATGGGTATGTTCAAGAAGAAGATGTTTACATTCGTATGCTTTGTGGCAATATTTCTGACATTTTACATACTTTATTTACAAATTCGAAAACCAGATTATAAACAAGAAACCAAGATAAAAATAGTTGGTGCATATATTAAGTCTGGAATAATCAAGCCTTCTCCATTACACCATAGTAATTGTGATAGCGAGGAAGTGTTTCTATTAATTATGATTCCAAGTGCTGTGAATAACTTTGAACAAAGAAACGCAATAAGAAGTACCTGGGGCAACAGTTCAATGGTTCAATATTCGGTGCTGATAAAATTTGTCTTAGGAACAACCAGTAATGGGACACTTCAAGACATTGCAGAAACGGAAAATCAAATCTATAATGACATCTTATTCGAAGACATATCAGAAACATATGAAAATCTCCTATGGAAATCAACTGCTATCTTGCGTTGGGTGTCTCGGTATTGTTTCCGAGTTCGATATCTCCTAAAAATAGACGATGATATGTTTTTAAACCTTCCAAGACTTCTGAATGAACTCGAAAAACATTCTTATACCAATACAATATTGGGATGTAAGGTCAGTCATTCCTCTCCATTCAGATACCCGTATTCAAAATGGGTAGTATCCAGGGAACAGTATCATAAAGACTATTTCCCGGACTATATAGCAGGGACTGCTTATCTTATCACCGGTGATATAATCCAAAAACTTTACCTTGCCACTCAAAAAGTTCCATATTTCAAATTTGAAGACGTTTACATTACTGGACTTTGTAGAGAACACGTTGGAGCTATTGCAAAGGAACATACTGGAATCAGCTGTGGATATCGCGATAAAGGACCGTGTGGCAAAAATTTTAGATACGAAATAACTGGACACCACTATAGTCCATCAGAAATTAAAAGGATGTGGGGTGAACTTCAGGACCGATGGTCTAATTGTCGGTTTATTGACCAATATTTCATTTATAAAATTGTTGACCTTATCAGTTTTATTTCTAATTAAAAATTATAATTTCACCTACACTTTGTCACGATAACTTTTTGATTTGTTTTTATTTTTGTTTTTTCTCGGTACTCAACACGGTAGGGCGCTTAAAAACCGAAGTCCCGTGTCAGCTTGATAAAGATCCCTTACTTCTCAATGACCCCTAGTGCCGAGTTTGGTCAAAATTTCCCTTCACAGGTATATGGTGACGTCTCTACATGAGTGAAAAAATTCGCAATCTGGACGTAAAACACCATACAACAAGTAAACTTCTTTTGATTTGTATTTTTACCTGAACACATATAAAATTGCGCCGATATAAGGTTTGAGGTTACCTGTGGTGGTCAAATAGGTGTCTCAAACGACATCAATGAAATATTTTGAGATAAAGAACATTTTTCCTGGCTCAAAAGTCCATTAATTATTACAACAAAGAGGCGAGCAAACACGGACCTCTAAACCATCAGGAGCTGGGGTCAGGTGCCATCAAGCAATTGATTGACTCGTCCTATAGAAGTCATTTTGTACTTTGGTATCCGTCATCCTTTGTATCACATTAAGTGTCTATTGATTGATTGACTGATTGTATATTGTTTAACGTCCCTCTCGAGAATTTTTCACTCATATGGAGACGTCACCGTATGCCGGTGAAGGGCTTCAAATTAAGACTTATACTCGGCACTCAGGGCCATTGAGCAGTGAGGGTTCTTAATCGTGCCAGCGCCTACCGTGACACAGGACCTACGTTTTTAAGGTCATATCCGAAAGACCTGTGACTTTCACTTCTGATGCCGAGCGCTTGGCGAAAGAACAGTCACTACCTATTTTTACGTCTTAGGTTTGACGCGGCGCTGCGAACGAGAATCGAACCCGGGCATCCCGATCACGAAGCGAACGCTCTACCACTAGGCTACCGTGAACGGTTTAAGTGTCTATTAAATGGCGTGTTTAACGGGGAAAAAATACATTTTTACATTCATTATTTTGCACTTAAAATGTCTTGCTTTGAAACATGTTTCTATTATTATATAAGACACGCCTTAAATAACAATTAAGAAGGTAAAATTTAATTTTCAATAATGGACCTTCAGCAATTTAAAATTGATGTAGTGTATAGTACAGATACACTGTACATGTAATAGTTTCACAACAAAGAATGAACGAAGAACTCGCATTAGGTGGTTCACAATTAGGGTATCGTTATGACTATGGAAATATAATAATATAGAAAGGGGGAAATCGAAATTTGAATGTATATTTGTTGGGTTCAAACATGAAAAATTGAACTTTAAGCATTGATTATTTCTAGTTAATATGAATGTTTCTGACGTGTAACCCTGCAGAATAGCGCCCTTTATGAGCTTTGTCTAAGTGACAATTATGTGTTATTTACATACTGGTCAATAGTACTCTGAAAACTAAAAAAAAAACAATAGCTATTTTGTTATCGATATACAGGACATTTAACTATCCGAAGTTAAGATAGTGGAATTTATTTTACATTTAAGGTTTTTTTTTTCAATTAGGAATATTTCAGGAAGGCATGAGATTTCACTCTGCCATTAAAATATAACTGATATTTCAATAACTTTTTATCAAAAAATTTAGGCCATCGTAAATATTACAGGAGAACTTTCGAAAACATCATTGATCATTGAATGTTTCCGAATAACATCTTGACGCTTGATAGAATCACTGTAATTTGCACATTTGATCAATTTATTTTTACAATATTTTATTTGCTAATAGAAATAATTATAGCCGTATTTTTTTAAATAAATGAATATGGTTCAAAGAATCATACATATCATCATAGATGATACAGCTAAATAAGAAAAAAAATCTTGTCTTTTTTTCTCTTTAAGGTTGTAACTTCTATAACAGGCTTGTTTTTTTAATAGATGTTTTATCTATTTTTTTAATCTAAAAGTACACCTTTCAGAATGTGTCACATGGGCGACTGTTCACCAAAGACAAACACAGGTTGTAGGATCATTTTGCAACAATGTGACATTAGATTGTAGTAAATGTAATAAAGCAATAAAAGATTTACCTTTGATTAGAATCAGGATGTAAACGTGATATACATGTACAGCTGTATCAATAACCTGGAAATAATTGGTTGCAGCATGACCATGAACAATCTGCATGATCAAACAAAATTCGTAAATCCTCAGGATGGCTACTTAAAGTAGCGATAAATGCAGATCCGATTTGTAATAAGGAATTTTTAGGCGGTCTCCGCAATATTTGGGGGGAAATGCGAAACTAGAATTTGAGCAACAGAATAAAAAGTGTGTTTGGGATTTAAATCTGCAAATTATCCTTTGAGGACAGGTGATGCAAACAAAAAATATGGATTCCTCGATTGGTCTACATATTTTTGAACTTATTTGGCTGTCTACAGTGCATATTTTTGAACTTATTTGGCTGCACATGATGCATGATTTTTTTCATTTTTTTTTTTTTTTTTTTTTTTTTTTTTTGCTTTCACATTTACAGACTGTACACTAAATTTGTTTGCGTTCAATGCTTTCACTTCTTCTCCCATGTAATTCATATTATATAATTAATACAAATCGTCTTTGGTAAATGCTAATACATGTTCATTTCAAAAAGCTGCAAAAATATATGACTTTCTTGTATTATATGAATTTAATTTTTGAAGATTCATGAGGTTATGAACTACAACGCTTTACGCCAGCATATTTCGAAGCGCGTTAGCGCTTCATGATAAATATGCCGGCGTGAAGCGTTGTAGTTCATATACCTCATGAATCTTCAAAAAATTAAATTCATTTCTTATATTTACATTATTTTTCTGATGACTTGCCATAGATTTACGTCGTTCAACTGTCGTTTGAAAACAAAACAGTGTGCACTATATTTTTTGACTTTTTGACGTCAAGAGCGGTATTATGACGTAACAATGGAGATATTCATGCTTATTTGTGATACATACCTAATGTAGTTCATGAGAAAATATACTGCATTTTATTTTGTAAAGAATCATAGGGGAAATTTATTCGAAATGTAAATATATAATTTTAAACAACAATCAACGTGGATTTGAATATTGCCATAATGGATTCCTAAACAACATATAATGTTTTCATAAAAATACTAATGGATTCCAGTAAATGCTGTACCAAGTTCTTTCTTAATTTTCTACTCGCTAAAATATTGACAACATTAAAGGAGAAACTACAGAAGTTAATAATACTTACAAAGATTATCCTTTATTTACAAATGAAATATATGGAGATGACGGACAATATTCAAGCCCAATGGTCCATTCAAACAATATAGATCGGAAGCAAAGCAAACACGGGCTTCTAAAACATCAGAGATGGAATCAGGTGCCGTGGAAGAGTGAGCATCCCCTGCAGACCTGTCATATCCGCCGTGTGCTCCTTGTCATGATCAGGAAAAACCGAAAAATCTTTCGGCGGTTCGGTATGCAAATAATGTCCGATGTTTTTTTTTTTTTTTTGAAAAACATCAGTCAGTATGTGGTATGTGACTTTATCATAGATTGCTTTTGCTAATAAGGTCAGTGTATCGGCCATAGAACTTACGAAATAATACAATGAAACAAGATTGTTAATAAATTATTCTTGCTTCCTCCACTTGTTTGCCAATAACTTATCTCGTTTTAAGAAATTGTTTAAGAAATTGTTCATGCTCTTGCGTATCGAATCAACGGAGAGATATAAACCCGATATGAGGGAAATAAGTGTATTATACTTGTGTTGCTGCACAAGAAAGGAAAGCTGACGATTGGAAATTAAAGTTTTTGTGTTTATCTTAAATCTTTGTTGTTAGATTACCATTAACCTCATCTTCTTGTTAAATATCTAAATATGAATCAGATGTTAGACTCTCTGGTATTTTAATTTCAAGCTCACTAGGATATACATGCATCTATTGTTAATTGATCAAACGACGTCTGTCGTATTGAAGGTCATAGCAGTGTTCTCTTTTTCTCAAGATAAATTCTGCTTCATATGAATAAAAAAGCCTGTTAATAATGACACGCAATTGGTATTCAGCAGATTGTTGAAAGATCTGTCCCCAAAACACACACACCCTCACACACATATATATAAATATTGTCAATCAGAAACTCGAAAATCTTTTTGGTATCAACTTAAAAATACCTCTGTGTACAATTAGAATGTTTTTAACAAAATAATTTTGCAAATGGCAAATGACAACTAACGACAATTTACGAATACCATTTTATTGAAAAAGTAGTTGGTGATGATGTGAAAAGTCTGGACTTTAAATTATCTTGGGGAATGTTTATACAGTTATATGGTCGTTAGTTTTTATGATATTTTATTATAATCTAATTTTGTTTGTATTCTTGTCTCTCATTGGTTGATTTCCAAAAAGGAACGCATAACATTTTGTATAATCTGGTTTGGTATGGGGACACACCCCCTTGACAACCAGCTGAATCATCTGTATCCATCAATCACCTCATTTCCAGTCCTTGGGATTCATGGAAAATTCCAGATTTAATAAATGTACCTTTAACTTCAAACAGTAGCTCGATCTTACCTCGTGTAAACAAGCATCATGGCTGCTAGATCTATCTATCAGTTTTTACCTCCCCTCGCTTCCCATCACTTCCGTTACTACGGTTGTATTATTGCGCGGTAAATTTGAACTCATAAAACAACACAATTTTACACCCCCAGTTGTTTAATTATTTTAAAATTAAATTATAAGGAATGACTCTAATTCTTGGCCAAATTATCGAGTATAATATGGTTTGGGTCAGTTTACGCTTTTTTATAATCCGCTTCGCGGATTATAATGCATAAACTGACCCAAACCATATTATACTCGATAATTTGGCCAAGAATTAGAGTCATTCCTTAATTGTTAAAATTTTGTAATTTCAAAAGTTCCCTGGTAATTTTAAGTATGCACATCTGAAAATTGAAATTTTAAGTTAATTTTAATTTGAGACATTTTAGATTTCAGGTACATTTTAAAAGTTATGCTTCTTAGCTGAGATTCAGATGTCCTTA